AAAATTACCTATACAATAAACAAAAACTATGACTTAAAAATTACTAATAGAAAAGTAAAAAAAAAGTTAAAAAGAATCAAAATTTGAAATTATAAGTACTCATCATTTGTCTAATAGTACAAAGAAGGGAAAAAGGGAAAAAGTTATTAACTGCATGTAGAATATGTATTTGGTTTAAAATTTGTTATTTATAAATTGAATATGTGATTTTTTTTTCTTTTTTTTTTCTTTTTAAAAGTTATTGTTATTATATAGATATTAAATGTAATAAGCATATATAAAATTTTAATTATATAAGTATAGGAAACACATCAATTAAATAAAATAGTTAAATAGGTCAAGTAAACAATTTTAATCCTTTATATTTATTATTTAACTGATACTTATGAACATATTATTTTCATACTTATTACTTACCTAATTTTTTATGATTTAAATAAAATACTTATAAACAATAGATGTATCGTGCTCAATGTTTACTCCAAATGTTGACAGCCAAATGGCCCAAAACAACCAGCGAGGGGCAGTCATCGAAACTCAAGTCGGGTCATAGTGGGCCGTGGTTGAACGGGTTAGGTTTAGGGTTGAACGCATGACAAAGCGTATGACATGGCATGACATGTAGAGGGTCAAACAAAATGGAGAAGGACGAAGCAACTATGAGGGCAGTGGTTATTGGGTGCAAGGTCATATGTCTAAAATTTTGTATTGTTAAGTAATTAATTCATTTGACATATCAAAAAAGGAACAGTAGTTATGCTTATTTCATCATTTATTAAGATTATATAATTATTTAAATTTTATATTAATTAAATTAATTAAAATGATTAACAACTACTAAAAATATAATATTTATGTATTTAATAAATTAAAATAATTTATAAATAAATATTTTTAAATATTATAATTAATTATTTAATAAAAAATTATAAATTCATAAAATAATTAAATAATTTATATGATTAAGACAATTTGCCGGCTGGACTATAATCACATTTCAACTTTAAGAGCAAAATTTTATTTTTATTTTTTGCTGTCCGCACAACAATCATAATCCTTATCCAACGGGTTTAAGTCGTTGGATCAACCTTTGAAGATTAATTTTTATGGATGTTAAATAAAACAAGGTATGTATGAGATTTTTAACTAAGCTTTGTTCATGTAGATGTATTAATTGAAGAGGAAACTAAAGAGTGAGTATTTTGTTAAGAGTTCTATTTTAGGGAAAAATATGTAAAAATATAAGTTTATATAAAATAATATTTATTGTGATATAATATAGCATAAGAATAAATTTTTTATTGTTTGTTATTAT